GCTCTAACCAACTGAGCTATGGAGCCTTGATGCAAGTCTGCCCTAATTGTGCACCATATAATCCATAGGTTTGAGTACGGCACAGAATTTGCAGCCAGGCGAGGCTGTGTAGCACAGACCACGCGGAAGGGCTGGGATGCACGACTTGTGCTGGCAGCTCGACGTTGCGCGTGTCCGCGACGTGGAAGCCCTTTTCTCGGCAGTCTGCTGCTGGACTTCCTCCACTTATCGCCTGCCACAAAAGACCCGTCGACGATCGTCCTTTCCTTCCTCTCACACACATACTCCCATACAATCCGCATCGGTTGCTGACTCGACTCGCACGCACGCTCGCTCGCCAATCAAATCCCTTTCTAGGTCCACCACTTCAACAATGGCTGGCTTCCTTAGAGGTGGCAGCTCCGGCGGCGCCGGGTACGGCAGGGTGGCTGATGGCTCGGACCCGTACAGAGATGGCCGCAATCCTTATACCTCCTCTTCAGCTTCGTCGGGTCGCGCGGCTGCCCCTTCTGGCTACGGCGCTGGCGGCGCTGGTTATGGAGGCGCTGGCTTCGCAGGTGCCGGAGCAGGCGGCGCTGGCCGTACTGCTGGCGGTGCCGGCTTCCGCGCAGGCGGCGCTGGCTTCGCGGGCAGTGCTGGTGGAGCCGGCTTCTCAGGCGGTGCTGGCGGTGCTGGCGGAGCTGGCGGAGCTGGTGGTGGTGCTCCCTACGCCTCGGAAAAGTCGAGCGCAAGGCCACGCATGGGCGGAGGCCACCTCGTGGTCAAGTGCCCCGAGCAGCTCATCCTCTCCAACTGCCTCATCGTCAACGGCCAGGAGTGGGGCTCCACGCAGTACGTGCTCGTCGAAGGCATGTACGTCTTCACTGCCCAAGCGGACCCTACGGGCGCCATCCAGCCGGGCACACTCGGCACCGCCAAACTGCAGCGACAGTGGGCCGGACTCTCCGCCCAGGGACAGTCGGTGGAAGCTGTGCCGTACGATCCCTTCGCCTTTGGCAACAGCGTCTACCTCGGCAGCATCGACATCGAGGTGGCATTCATCCGCAAGGGTGAGGTTGCCGCACAGGCGTACGACACCGCCGAGATGGCCAAGGTGTTTGCGCGCGCCTTTGAGAACCACATCTTCACCACCGGCCAGCTCCTCGTGTTCGAGTTCAAGGGCATGAATCTGATTGCCACCATCCGCGGCGTCGAAGTCGTCGAGCTGCACGAGATCCAGCAGCGAAGCCAGAGCGCGCCCCAGGCTGGCCACACGGGCTCTCATCCGAGCCGTTCCGATCGCGGTATTCTCATCGCCCAGACGCAGATCAACTTCTCGGCCACGCCGGACGGCGGTGTGAAGCTCAAGGCCTCCGGCAACCGACCGCCGCCCAACGCCATCCTGCAGCCCAACTTCAAGTTCGAGGACATGGGCGTCGGCGGTCTCGACAAGGAGTTCGCCAACATCTTCCGCCGAGCCTTCGCCTCGCGCATCTTCCCGCCGGCTCTCGTGGAAAAGCTGGGCATCCAGCACGTCAAAGGTATGGTGCTCTACGGTCCGCCCGGTACGGGTAAGACGCTGCTGGCTCGACAGATCGGCAAGATGCTCAACGCGCGCGAGCCCAAGATCGTCAACGGTCCCGAGGTGTTCAACAAGTACGTCGGCGGGAGCGAGGAGAACGTGCGCAAGTTGTTTGCGGATGCCGAGAAGGAGCAGAAGGACAAGGGCGACGAGTCGCAGCTGCACATCATCATCCTCGACGAGCTCGACGCCATGGTGCGTCAGCGAGGCTCGGGCGGTGCGGGCGCGACGTCGGCGGGCGACAACGTGGTCAACACGCTGCTGGCCAAGCTGGACGGTGTGGAGCAGCTCAACAACATCCTGGTCATCGGCATGACCAACCGACTCGACATGATCGACGAGGCGCTCCTGCGTCCCGGCCGTCTGGAGGTGCACGTCGAGGTGAGCCTGCCGGACGAGTTTGGACGTCGGCAGATCCTCAACATCCACACGAGCAAGATGCGCACCAACGGCGTCATGGACGGCGACGTCAACATTGACGAGCTGGCGGCGCTCACCAAGAACTTTTCGGGAGCCGAGATTGCGGGACTGATCAAGTCGGCGACGTCGTTTGCGTTTAACCGCCACGTCAAGGTGGGCACCATGGCGGGCATCTCGAACGACGTCGAGGACATGAAGGTGATGCACCAGGACTTTTTGAACGCGCTCGAGGAAGTCAAGCCTGCGTTTGGCGTGGCCGAGGAGGAGCTGTCGCAAGTGGTGCAGAACGGCATCATGCACTTCGCACCGCACATTGATGTCATCCTGCGCGACGGCCATCTGCGCGTCGAGCAGGTGCGCACCTCTCAGCGTACGCCGCTCGTCACGGTGCTGCTGCATGGTCCTCCCGGTTCAGGCAAGACGGCGCTGGCGGCGACGATTGCGATCGCATCCGACTATCCGTTCATCAAGCTCATCTCGCCCGAGAGCATGATCGGGATGGGCGATGCGCAAAAGATCAACTACCTCAACAAGGTGTTCAACGACGCGTACAAGTCGCCGCTGTCGATTGTGGTGATTGACAACATCGAAAAGATCGTCGAGTGGGTTCGGATCGGACCTCGATTCTCGAATTCGGTGCTGCAGGCGCTGGCGGTGCTGTTGGGCAAGCGACCGCCCAAGGACAAGCGTCTGCTGGTGCTGGCGACCACGTCGAACCGACGCATGCTGCACGAGATGGAGATGCTCAATGCCTTTATCGCCGAGATTCGCGTGCCCAACATCACGTCGCTGCGCAGCGTGGACCACGTGGTTCGCCAGATGCAGCTCTTCGAGCACGACGGCGAGGCGCAACGCTGCCAGCAACTCTTGGCGCAGGCCGGACTCGGCGAGGAGGGCAAGCTCAACATTGGCATCAAGAAGCTGCTCTCGGAGATCGAAATGGCTCGTCTGGACAACGACCCGGCGGACCGTCTGGCATCGAGCCTGTCGAGCGTGCAGAGCACCGCCATCGATGTCGACATTGACGTTGATCTCAACTGATCTCGCTCACTGTGCACTCCTCACAGCCCGAATCTTAGACATTATTGGGACATTGATTCTGCGCTGCTAAGGTGCGGAAGGGATACCGGCGAGCCAAGTCTTGAAGAGCGAGTGTACATCTTTGCGCCATTCGAGTTCTCGTTCCGCCTCTTGGAGTGTGAAAGTTCTCCTGGTGCGTTCGTGCGCCTCGGGCCAATGCTCGGCGGGTTGGTTTGTGAGGACCAGTTCGTGGGCGGAGTAGCGAGCGCGGGCGATGAACCCCGGCTCGTGCGCGTGCTTGACTGGGCTTTGCTTGTGTGGTTTGTGGTCGTCAACGATGAGCTGTTCCGGTGCGCATCGAGAGATGGTGTTGGATGGAGATGGATCCGCGATGAGACCTGCCTCTTCCCACAGCTCGCGAACCGCAGCCTGACGTGACGACTCGCCGTGCTCTACACCGCCCTTGGGCAGTACGAACCGACCTTCATGCTTGCGTGACGAGACGAGGTAGACGCGCAAGTCGCCCGAGCTGACGGCCTCGTTGAGAGGGGATGAGGCGTGCACCACGGGAATGGCCACTGCAACTTCTCTCGGCATCGCCATGTTGTACGAGCGAGGCAATGATGGTCGGTCGGTGCGAGGATGGTGTTGGTGTCGCTTCCAAGTGGGCGCGCACGGCCTCCACATGTGAGAGTGGAACGACGAACAAAAGTCGAATTCATTTCGCACAAGCTGGCGGTCGAGCCACCGTCGGAGGCACAAAGGCCTTGAACGGATCGCTTTCCGACGACGCCTTTTTGGAGCGGATTTTTTTGGCTCTGACAGCACGCCGAAGCGGGGCAGAGCGGGAGAAAAGCAGAGAAGAAGGAGGAGCCTTTCAGCCTCTCGCTCCTCCACACCATCACCATCGATCGCACAGACTGCCTCCGCCTGCATCCTCGCTCGCTGCAGCTGCATCGCTCGCTTCGTTCATGGTTGGCGCCCGTCGTTGGTTGCGTACGAGCGCCTTGAGCGTCTCTCGCTGCTCGCATCCCTCTCAATCACACACCCTTGCTTTCACCACCGCCTCGGGTCCACGGAGATCCCCGTCCTCGACCACCTCGTCAACCTCCGCCTCTTCCGCTTCATCCTCCTCGAGCTCGTCATCTTCGGGCTCTTCCCAGTGGAAGCCCCCCCCTCCGCCGCCCTCCGGCTCCACAGCAGCGTCCCGCAAGCAGTCGCGCAAAGAGTGGCTCCTCGTCGGCGTCGCTGGCTCAGCTGCTGCCGTCGGCTCGTGGTACTACTGGTCCAACATTCGCCCACGACACCAAGCCAACAAGGCGGCTGCAGCAGCGCTCGCCGCCAACTCGGCGCCCTTCTCCATCACCGCAGAGTCGCGCACCTCCTTCTCCATCCCTACCCGTCAGGCTCAGGCCGGCGGTCCGACC